TGGAGACAAATGGAGTTTAAACAGCCGATCCAGGAATCTACCCTTGGATGACAAAAACCAAGAATCCTGGTGACTAAGCAAGTTACAGTAATAATCATTCAACTAATAATGTTTACTTGGTTCTACCCTTGGTTTTGAATGACCTATAAATTAACTACAACTTCAAGTTCTAGTTAATAATATATTTATAATCTACTGGTAAAATATCACAACAAATTCTAATGACCAATCATGCAACTTTATGGGGGGAGGATACAAATGTAAACATTTACCATTTGTAAAGTAATTCCCCAAATCAGAAACTCAACTTTTTCCAGCTTTCAACATTTTCAATGCTTCTGAAAGTGAAGTGTGAACATTACTGAAAAAAAAATATCTGTGGTCAATGTTGCCAAAGGAGGAATTGGCGCAATGCCAGAGAATGAAGAGAGATTCCTTTTGCTTGGAAACATATTTGGACCATGAGAAAAAAAATAATACAAAAATACTATTTCAGTAAAAAAATGAATAATTACTTAACTTTAGTATTGTTTGCATGTTTATTAAAGGTATAGTGGAGGATTTTCGTGAATTTCTGAAAAGACGTGCCCTCTCCACGTTTTAAAATAAATGCACATGCACAACCCTTTTCCCACTCCCGAGAGGGAACGCCTATTGAACCGGTGTGAGAACATGCACAAGCCCATTTCTCCTCGTGCATGCTCTGTTTAAAAGTTGCTGTTTGCATCGCCCATGCAAACCTACTTTCCAAAAGGAGATTTGCAATTTTTCCATTATGTCAGACTCACCACCGGTAAGAGAAAATGGGGATGAGCACATAGTATGGCCTTACTTATACATATCACCAGAATGATTGACAATTAGGACGACCACTTATTTTGATGATCCCCCAAGAAAAAGAACATCCTCCACTATACCATTAGAAATACAATATCAAGCCTGCAAAGAGAGATAAAATCAATGGAAGTCAAAGGTAGTCAACAGATGGTCCTTACTACATAACAGACCAAATTGGTTATTTCTAAGCATATTAGTATCGTCTGATAAGTAAAACCGGACCAATATAAGCGATCCATATGAGCGACCGATATGAGCAACCAATTTAAGCGACCAATATGATTGACATGAGCTGTGTCACAGTAATTGTGATGCAGTTCAGCATTGTCGGTGTTTATCTGAAACTAGGAAGCAATGGGAGCACTGCAGTCAGTTTTTCATGGTTCCCAAAGCATGGGGCAATGTATGATTAATGACATTATTAAATATTGGTTATCTGTCATAAGAACATATAAATGTTGTATATTGATATTGACTTAGATGTGATATAGTGTATTCATATATTTTTTCTTTTTACTTGGTTTAGTTAAATGTTGCTAGAATAAATATATCGTTTACTGCATCACTGATTTTGTCTATAAAGCGAACAAATTTTGTTACGAAATTATTATGTCTTGGAGAGAAGATGTTTCTATTGATTCTGTTTATTTGTGACATGGTGCACAAATTCACTCCTTTACTTTTCACTCCATAGGGCCATGAGATCATGCAGGAATTTACAGAATAATATCCTGAAAGAGAGTAGGTTGTTTGGCTAATAATTCCTGATAACAGACTGATGTGTTTTTGATTTTATTTGGGAATAAGTTGGTTCATATTTTATTTTTTTATCCCACCTGTATATTTGTATTGAAATTACTTTAAACTTTAAACCCACAATGTACCTGCAGTGCTCAACATAGACTGCCTGGCTTCATGTGCTTTACTTAAAAGAAAACCCTAATCTGTAATTGTTTATTGGGATTTTTTCTCCTTCATGTTTTCAACCTCTGCTAGACTTCCCCAATAACATTCAGGATTTTTGTGATGCATTGGCAAAGTATATACTATAACCAGAATCTTTTAATTAATCAGAAAACACACTCTATGGTCACCAGATAGCCAGTTGAGAGCTGTTGTACTGACATCTTGTTAAAAATGAGATGCTTTCACCCTGAAATAGGTTTGTCTTCTGCTAGTAAAGACAGCAGCCAGTTGGGGAGAAGTCTTGAGAAATACCCAGGGGCTGCTGGCAGAGTTAGCGCCCTGCATCGACATATGGTACATCCCCACCATATGTCCACACATACGAGCACTTCTAACACAAATGGCCACAATGAAGTCTCCCGCTTGCTGAACACACTCGCATAGGAGAGGTTAGCTGTAAATTGTTTGGTGGTTATTTACCTCACAGCACCTACTTTTCAAGATCCCTTTTTTTAAGTTGCAGCATTGTTTTTGGTTACCACAAAAATCACGTTATTACTGGTATGCTCTTCTTTATCAGCAAAAATACAGTTTTTCAACTTTATAGCAGTGTTGATTACATAATGCAATTACTTGTCAAGTTCTTCTCAAGGAAAACACATTTTAAAAACTTGTAGACATTTTTAAATGCACAATTTTATTTCAAAGATAATTAACATTTTCATGTTTAGGGTTTAAAACTGCATCTTGTCATTCCTTGAAATATTTGAAAAATTATCTTAAGAAATATTTGAGGAGCCCAAATGAGAATTCATAGTTTGAAGGTTTAAGCTTGGTTTTGTTCCGAGTTTAATAAAAAAAAAATTTAAAGTTGTGACAAATTTTACTCTAAACTACTCCTGCTGTTTAAACTCTGATTAATGCGATGCCAGAAAACAACTGACCAGAGTTTTTGAAGCTTTTTAAGGCACAGAGGAGCACAGCCCTTCTCCATCCTGACCTATCACCAGCAGAAAGAAGATTGCTATACTGTGTTAGTTTTTACTGACAAAAAAAACAAAATGAAAATTGGATGTTTTGTAAAAACTTTGTCATAAGAAGTAAATATTTGTCAACTGGATTGACTAATTAATCTCAGTTCCCTATACTTTAAAAAAAAATCACATTATGAGAAGAACAACAACAAGAGATTACATTAAGGGGTTTGTGTTTGCGATAAGAAAATATCTATATGAATACATATATACATAGGTATGTGTATG